ATTATTCTTGATAAGGCCATGTTTACACGCGCCGCTTTTTCACACGCTTTTTCAACATGCATTTTGAAGTTGAGCCTCGYATCAATTGTTACACCAAGGTATTTCACAGSGGGTTGTGTTGTAATRTTGTTCCCGTCTATGTTAAGCGAAATGGTTTCCAGTTTTTTCCTGCTAGTTATAAGCACTGCTTCCGTTTTGTGTCCGGCAAGTTCGAGTTTTTCACTCGTTCTTCAGCACCGCATCACTACAAATACTTTGTATTTGGTGGAGCTCCTTAGCTACTATTGTCACAGCAATATCATCTGCGTATCGAATTATTTGTACTTCTTTCGGCAGAGGGAGGTGCAATATTCCATCATAAAGCGTATTCCAAAGGAATGGGCCTAACACAGATCCTTGTGGCACACCACCCGCTACCCTATACTTTTTTGGTCCTTCGTCCGTGTCGTAGAGCAGGATTCTATCGGCCAAATAGCTTTGGATGATGCACAACAGATAGCTCGGTAGTTTTTTTGAGCACTAATGCACGCATTATATGGGGCCAATGGGCCGAGTTAAATGCGTTTCTCACATCAAATGTGACGACCGCACAATATCCTTTTTTCCCATACATCCACCTGTCTCCTTCAATAGCCTTTTCTGCTATACCAGTGACTTTTTTGATCGCGTCAAGAGTTGAACGCTTTCTACGAAAGCCATATTGGGTATCAGCGAGTCCACCATCTCCTTCTAAATGATAGACGGGCACAGATTATGCGCTCCAGGATTTTGCCCATCGTATCGATCATACAGAGCGGTCGATGGGAGCTGGGTTCTCCTGCCGGCTTGTTTATCTTCTGTAGGAGTACCAGCCGTTGTACTTTCCAAATTTTTGGAAACACTCTTTCGCGAAGGCAACGTGTGTACAAATCTGAAAATGGCTGCGGATGATAGCTGATCGCAATTTTAAGAGCCCTGTTCGGGATACCATCTATTCCTGGTGATTTGCTATTTTCAAAGCGCTCAGCAGCTTGAATAACTTCCTGCTCGATGATTTCTGGAGCATCAACAACTTCCTCGCGATAAAAATTTCCTTCTGTTTGGTTTTGTTGAGGGAACAGGGTTTCTACAACATTTTTRAGTAATGAAGGGCATGTAGGCGCTTGACATTTGCCACCTTTAATCCTTGACATTATGATCCTATAAGCTGCTCTCCACGGATTTTCGTCCACCTTTTCGCATAATTCTTTGAAGCATGTCATTTTGCTCTTTTTAATTGCCTTTTTTATGTCGCCTATACTCCGTTGGAAACGGCGCCTCGCTTTGTGACTATCACTTCTCAGAGATTCGATTTCTCGATTCCACCAGTAAGCAGGCTTTCTCTTTGCGGCTGTCCTCTTTTGGTTCATAGCGGCATCACAGGCTTTGCTAATGTATTGTACCAACAATTTAGCCTGTTGTTCTATGTCATCACTTCCGTTTATATTTC